AGAAAAGGTAGATTTAGAGAATTTTATGGCTATTCGTACCTTTTTAAAGGTATATTAAAGGACCACTGTAGCGCTACAGGCCTGACGACCCTTGTCATTTAGTGTTAAATCAAAATTAAACAAATTACTTACCTTTTCAACAGTGCCGAGTCCTTCACCTCAAGTGACGCCATCCTTGCGTGCCTCCCGGATGATGGTCCAATCCTTTTCTCCTCATAGACAATGGCGTCGCTGGGGGGTCCCAGAGGGGGCCTTACATTATGCTGTGCCCCACCTTGCGCCCTCCCAATTCAAATGCATTACTGACCTCTGTGAGTAGAGGTGCATCGCGATGATAGACTCTGCCACCTCACACTAAGCCAAGCACTCCTTTGTAAGCTCCGCCCCTGCCTGAGTTCCCCCGCAGAGCTCCTGGAAGGCTGGCTGGGCTGGAAGGTGAGTAGACACAGGGGAGAGGGCAACATAAGGGCACAGTAGATGATTGGGGCTTAAGAGGGCACAAGAAGGAGGCTACAAAAGGGCACAGGAGAATAGGGGTGAGGGGCTACAGAGGGCACAGGAGAGGGGCTACACAAGGGCACAGGAGGGGCAAGGGGCTAAAGAGGACACAGGAAGGGGAGGGGACAAAGGAATGGCACAGGAAGAGGCAAAAGAGGGCACTGGAGGTAAGGGGGCTAAAGAGAGCACAGGAGGGGAGTGGGCTACATAAGGGCACAGGATCGGAGGCGGCTAAAGAGGACACATGAGGGGAGGGGACTACATAGAGGCACATGAGGGTAGAGGGGCTAAAGAGGGCACAGGAAAAAAGGGAGCTACATAATGGCGCAGGAGAAGAGGACTGAGAAGGGCAAAGGAGGGGAATACATAGGGGCACAGGAGGGGTGCAACCACATGTGTTCAGTTGCACGAAATGGTGGCCATAAAGGGATACTAAGTGTGTTGAACCAAGTGATGGGGTTATTCCTTCACAACCCCCCACACACACTGGCACCCCCCTCACCTGCCACACACACTGCCAGCCACCCCCCCACACACAAATACCCTGTCATCCCCCTACTCACACTGTCATCCCCCCACTCACTGTCACCCACACACATACACTGTTCCCTCTCATACACATGGTCACCCCCCCACACACACACTGTCATCCGCTACACACACATTATCACCCCTTACACACACACACATTTCATTTTTTGTTGTTGTATTATTTAGTGGTGGTTATTATTTTTCCCCCATAATGAGTTGCATGAACATAAACATATTTAGTTTGTACAATTGGAAAGTTTTGCGATGTATGCAAGCTTAGTAGATCGTAGGTTTTGTTTCTGGTTAGTCTCATAGGTCTCGTGAACCTCAGGGGGACATTATGCCTGGGGTTCAGCACTCCCCCGGTCTCGTGTTTGTTAGTGTTCATGTTTGCTTTCCGCTATTCTAATGTGGTCACATGGTCTCCTTCACTACGATTAGCGTACATTGGTTAATGGACAGTCTGCGTATCGCCTGCTTCACTTGTCCTTTTCCTCTATATCGATGTTAATCTAGTGTATGTTGTAGTAGGCTTCCTTGCTCCCATTGATGTGCGGGTGGAGCGAGATCTATAAGGAGAGGGAGATGTGTGTTGAGTGCGGGTAAGTCATGTGGTGTTGTGAGTGTTATGTGTTGATTCTTTGGCTATGCTCCCTGTGTTTTAGAATGTTCAGTGATATGTGTTACAAAACGCGTAGGGGATGGACCTGTGCTGGGTTGTGGTGTTGTTGGGTGTATTCCACCTATTACAGGTGTGGTGAGCTGTGTTTCATGTGGTTTCATGTGGTTGGTCCCTCCGGTCCCCTCTCCCGGCCCCTCTGGCAAGGCCAGTGGAAATGAGATGTGGGAGCGGGATAGTGTGGAAAGGTAAGGGGTTGTGCAGTACAATCTGTGTTACTTGGGTCCCGTCCCCGCCGACGTCCCCTCTGCGGCCCTGGCAGCATCTCCATCCCGCCTGTATTGGGCTATGTATAGGAACCATGGTAGCCACATCTCTGTGTGTCTGGTTCCTCGTCCTGTCAGGGAGGCGTGTATTTCTTCTGCTGCCTGGATGTCTTCTACCCTATAAATCCATTCTCTTTTAGTGGGTATTGTAGTTTTTTTCCAGTGGACCGGTATAGTTGCTTTGGCCGCATTTAGCAGGTGGCGTAGTATCGATTTTTTTTGTATAGCGGGATTGGTTGCGTTGAAATGTTGGTATTCGGTATGTCTCCCAGGATAGTTGTCACCGTGTCCTTGATCATTTCCCAGTACGTGGCTATGCTCCTACACGTCCACCAGTTGTGTGTCAATGTGCCCCTTTCAGCCCGGCATCTCCAGCATGTGGGGGGGACAGATGGGAAGATCCGATGTAGCAGTGTCGGTGGCTATACCAAAAAGAGAGTAACTTGTAATTCACCTCTTGGTAATATGAGCTCATGGAGCTCTTCTGTTGCCAGATTAGTGCTTTATCCCATTGTGGGATTGTGAACGTCTTCCCCAATTGATCCTCCCATTGTCATTGGAATGTATTGGCAGTGGTCATGCCAGCTGTTATTAGGTGTTGATAGAGTGCTGAGATTGCATGTTCTAGGTGGGCGCCTTTTTCGCAAAGGCCTTCAAGCCAGGTCAGGTCTCTGTGTAGGCGTTCTTTGTGGGGCATAGCATCGTAGTAATGTTTTAGTTGGATGTATCTCATGACGGCGAGGGGAGTCCTAGGCTCACCCTCCAACAATGAGTCCAGGTCACGCAGTCTTCCATCCCCCAGGGCCTTGCGTATAGGAATGAATGTCCCGGTGCTAGTAATGGGCCATGCTCTATGTAAGTGGGATCAGTGGGCTGGGTGTGGGTGATATGTGATTTTGATCTCTCAGCGCCCTCCAGCTATGTATCGTCTGTAGGACCGTCCCCTCCCCTCCCCATGGTATTGTGACACATGGCTCCCGTCTCCCCCTTCGCTTCCAGCGTTGGACCAATAAGGCCTCTGTCGAGTTCCACCCATTGTTTCTGTGTTGGTTCTGAGTGCCAGTCCAAAATACGTTGTAGTACCGTAGCTTGGTTGTATTTTTTAAAATCTGGTAGTGCCAAGCCCCCGTGTTGTCTGGGCCAGCTTAGGATGCTGTATCGAATTCTGGATCGTTCGCCACGCCATACATATTTGATAACTGCCGTTTTCGGGGAGGAAAAGATCGCCGGCAGGGTGAGGGGTATGATCTGCATGAGGTATAGAACTCTCGGGAGTATGTTCATTTTTATCACAGCTATTCATCCATGCCACATGACGTGTGGATACGACCATCTAGTCAGGTCAGCCAGAACATTCTTTAATAGTGGTGGGAAGTTGTATCGATATATTCCTCCTGTAGGTAGTGTGATGTTCAGTACTTCGCATTTTGAGAGGTTAAGCTTGAAGCCAGATAGCTTCCCATATTTGTCGAATTCTGAAAGGAGACATGGCAGAGTAATTCTGGGATTGCGTATGAAGAAAAGTAGGTCATCCGCATATGCGGCTACCTTATGGCTCGTCCCCGACAGTCATATCCCTGAATATTCGGGTTCATCCGGATCGCTTGCAACAGTGGTTCCAAAGACATTGTGAACAGCAGGGGCGAGATTGGGCATCCCTGCCGGGTGCCGTTGTTAATCGCAAATTTAGTAGTCGTGGCCCCATTAACCCTTACTGTAGT